CAGGAGGTAGTATTCCCCATTTCACAGATGAGAAAAGTGAGGCTCAGAGAGAGAAAAAGTCACATGTACCTGGTCTTCACATTTCCATTCCTGCACCTTCTAATAAAAGCGCTTCCCCACCGTCACCCAATCAATCTCTGATTCACACAGCCAAGTGAGGAGGGGATGTTTCCATTATAGGGAGAATCAATTAAAACAGGAAGCAACACTGACTAACGTGGTGCTAATAAGGGCCCTGGGCCCTTACTACGCTCAAGGATCCTGAGATAAGGACAGCACAGAGCAGAAATAGACAGCGGGACCTTTGGATTCCATCCAGATCTGAGGCACATCTAGGGCACATCTGGGGCCTGCCTGAGTGGAAGGGCTTCCCTCCTGGGAGTCTGAGCACAGGAACTAGGACCTCCGAGGCTTAGTGAGTCGGAAAGACACATTCTAGTCCTCTACCCCGTCCCCAAGTCTTAACCTCATTTCCATCAGGACAGACAAGGATCACAGCCTCCTTCCACCTCCCCAACTTGTTCCACACGCACAGGAGAAGTCTCCCTCCTCATTTTCTGTTAGAGGGTTTGAGCAGGCTGCACAATGAGACAGAAACGCACATGTACATGGAAATGTACACAACGTGTCACCCACACAAACACATGGATCTGCCTCCCAAACCCAGGAATGTGCACAGGCACAGAGGTACTGGTCTCACATACCCCCCAATGTGGGAGAGAGGGGGTTTCTGGGCAGCAAAGTGGTTTGGGGGACAGTTATAAAGGGAGGCCACACGGCACCTCCCAGGCCTAGAGCTTCTTTCTATCTCTGGGTCTAGAGGGAGGCAAGAGAGTGCGTTTCCCTTTGGGTTTGGGTGAAGTTCTGGGAGGGCTGTTGGGTATCGAATGAGCTTCAGTTATAAGAATGATCTCTGAGTACTTTATGGTGGGTGGGGTGGGACCTGACCCAACACTAACCAAAGCCCAGGGACAGGGGTCAGATGCTGCTCCTAGGAGCCAGGCTGGGTTGCTATGGCACTAGAGTCCCTCCTGGGTCCACCTGGGGGAAACAGTGGTGTGTACTGAAGATCTCCTGTGCACCAGGAAGCTAGAGAAGCAGCCAGGGTAAGACGTGTCATAGACACTGACAAAGCCCCGCTGAAGACACCACCACATGAAAGTGCACAATCAGCATCAAATGCCACTATAACCCACATAGTCTCACAGTCACAAAACACAACACAACCCACTTTAACAAAGACTTGCCCCAGGAAGTTCACAACATCTTACAAAGAGACATACCACCATAAAGTGAAGCCCTGACACTAATGGTAGTCACATGCGACTTCATACAGGATCACACACTCAAAGCACGAGAGTTGCACATAGAACAGAAACACATGGTCAAAGAACTTCATTAGTACACTCAGGGTACTACATAACCTCACTCAAACATCTGACGAGATCATACAATCCCACAGCCACATACAATCATGCTCACCCTGGCTGTCACCAAGCCCAAGGTGCCCACCTACTCTCCCCACCCCCAACTATCCCCCCTCCCCTCCGCCCCCGTAGGACCCAAGGCTTTGAACCTGTGTCCAGGGGCCCAGAACAGCCGGGAGGTGCCTGGAAATGGGGCAGAGTGTGGGTAAGGGCTTGGCAGGGTCAGAGGCTTAAGGGTTTGGAGGAATGGAATCTACCCTCCCTCCCACGAGCCCCGATCCACCGACTCACCAGTGAGCTGGTCATAGGATCCGTCCAGGTCTCGGGAATCGGACAAACTCTCCTTGCGACCCTGGCCCCGCATGGCCCCCGGCGACCCCCTCCCGTCCCGCGGGAGGCTTGGGCAGTAGGTGAGCGCAGAGCCCGAGGCAGAGCAGAGCTGAGCGCGGAGCCGGAGCCAGCCGCCTCTTTCCTCCCGCCCCCTCCCCGCGGCTGTCACCACTGCCTCCCCGCTTTGGCGCTGCCGGGATTGGCTCCCCCTACCCCCGCCCCCTCCTCTTTGCAGCTCCGGGAGGCACCCGGTGAAAGGGTGAGCTGGGAAGTGCGGAGAGAGAGACTGGCTCTCCAACAACACTACCCCCTAAACCCGAAGCCCTGGGTTTTGGAGGTAGAAGAGAGCGAGCAGGGCCAGAAAGGCCCCACTGTGAGGAAACTCCGCCCCCAATTCTCAGGCACTTTCCCCTCTAAGCCAGCACAGGTCGGGTAAGTCTCCGTCCGGGTGCCGAGTCCCGTTAGTCAGTCCCTGTGTAGCCCCTATTTTTCTCTGTTGCTCTCTTCCTAAGTATGGGTTTCTGTGCCGCCCTTCTTCCCCTGCCCCCGCCAGTGCCCACCCTGCTTGAAGGGGTGGGGGCGGATTCAGAGGGGTCAGTGCCTCTAATACAGACTTTTCTCGGGCCAGTGGGCTACAATTCCCTTCTCTCAGAAGTACCCCAACCCTCACCCACTTCAGGCCTTTGGGCCCATTCATTCTCAGGGCGCCTTCTTTCCTGATCTAATGACCCCTGTTGGCCAACTGGGGAGAAAAGGAAAAGTGAAACAGGTCAGCTTTTCAAGACTTTCTTGCTCTTCTCTTTCTTCAACTTGCCTGGCCTTCTCTCTCCTATCACCTGCTCTGTCCTAGATTCCTCGTTTATCCGTAAGATTATTTTGGGGGGGAGGAGTGGCAACGGAGAGTTTGAGGATCCGGGTGAAGATCCACAGTGGGGAATAAATGCTCTTGATGTGAGCCCCGCTCCCTCCCCACCCCCCACCCCCCCATGAGGATGTAGGGGAGGGCAGTGTCCGGTGGGTCTGGATGGTATAGTGGCAGTGTCCCGGGTAATCCTGCCTGCCCAATGGCTCCTTTGGAGGAGTGACCTGTTTAGACCGGAAGCTTCTGCTAAAATGACCCTAGCAGGAATTATGGTGGGAGACTAGGCATGAAAAGGGGACAAGCAGCCAAAGGAGAGACTGTCTTTGGGAGCGATGTCCTGGTCCTGGCTCTGGAGGGTCCTCAACCAGGCCCAGACACTGGGGAATGGAGAGAGCACGGGCAGATGCTGTGGAGTTCAGTTCTAGGAGGGGATGGGATTCCTGTTTAGAGTTCTTAGCATAAGGTGTATAGGCCAGAGATGGAAGGGCCTTTACACTGGAATCCTTTATGACTTCATGCCCTTGACCTGCACTTATTCACTTCATAGGAAGGACTAGCAGAGGTCCATAATGGGCTGGCTGCCCTCCTCAACACCGAGTTTGGAGATAAGGGGACTTTCTTCTCCCTCTTTCCACCCAAAGGACTTCTCTGAACTGAATTTGCTTCCTCTGTGGCCACGAGACTCCAGAGGAGAGTCTATAAGGATAGGCAGGGCTCCCATAGCCAAATGGAACCAGTAACTGGAAATTACCT